ACCTAACCCTGCTTTAAACCTCTCCCTGACCCATCTGGTGTGTTCCTTGTCATGAGCGGTGAAGATTGGACTTCTCCCGAGGAAAGTGGGATCCTGTGGATGAGACTGGAAAGTGTCTGTCTGGTCATGTGCTTTGCAGAATTACCCTGCAAGAAGCTGCTGAAGAAAAATTCCTTTTTTTTTTGTATGGAATGTTTGGGCAGAGGTGAGTATCCTAAACATTTTGGGTGGTTAGAGCTCTCTTGTATCACTTCGGAGGAAGGGTATGCACAAAATTCAGGGATCTGTTGATCTCTTCCTTTTCTTCTTCCACAAGTCCATTTCTTTTGTTGCTCCCAGGTCTTAGCTGTAAAATTGAAAACCTCAGTCCAAAAGATGTGTTAAATTAAACTCTCCAGACCTCTGCTCTTTGAAGAGGACACCTCCTGCTTATTGGAGTGGTGGAATGTTTTGGTCTTTGCAAGGCATTGGCAGGGGGAGATGGCAGTTGAGAGGTCTGCTGTATTGTAGTTTGTGGGTACAAGCTAGAATGTTTTTTTTCAGTTTTCCCCATCTCCACTTCCTGTTTCAAGTCTTCTTTGTATCTGCAAAATAGATTCTTTTGATCCGCTTCTTTGGGGGTGAACGCTTTGGTTCTCCAGGACAGAATGTTCTGCGGGTTCTTTTCAAATCTCTTCCAATTCCAAAACTGAATGACATGGTTTGTCTCTGTCTCGTTCCTGGGTAAAGAGCATATCAGCAGGTCTCTCCAGGTGCAGATATTTTTAATGGAATCAGGGCCTTCAGTGATAGCCTCTCTCCAACCAGGGGATTTCCTGGTATTGGTGAACTTAAAAGATGCATACTTGTATGGCTGAACTTCCCCCTCACAAGAGAGTTCTACAGAACTATCATTTTCAATTTGTGGCCCTGGTGTTCAGCCTTGCCACGGCCCTCCAATGTTTTTCCAAAATCCTGGCTTCTGGGCCTTCTGCAGACCCAGAGAGTGTCTGTTGTAGAATACTTGGAACAGTGCTTCTGTAAGAGCAATCTGCTCATCTTCTGAAGCATAACGTGTTTCATGATGCATGCTCTGGGGAGGTTTGGCTCATTTCTCGATGTCCAAAGGATTAGGCCTTGATGAGGCCAGACAGAATGATTCTTCTCCCTATGGAGAAAAGTGTTCTGAGAAATCAGGTTGCTTCTCTCAGGAAGCTGAAAAATATCTTGGTTCACCTCTGCATGAGGGTCTTTTGGAGAGGTTGGTTTTCTTTTTCAAGGCGCTTCCCTTGCTAAGTTTCATTCCAGGCCACGGCACTGGAATGTTCTGCTGGCAAGGGACAGTAGGACAAAATTGTTAATTTCCGTTGTCCTTAAAACCCAGCACGCTTCTGTCTCTGAACTGGTAGATGCTTTTGTAGCTGCTGGAGACAGGTCGGTCTTTATTCCTCTATCTGGAAAGGTGCTGACAAGGGTCACCAGCTTAATGGATTGGGGAAGAGTTTATCACCTTTTGAATTGCAAGACTTTAGGTCTCTACAGGCAATTTGCATGGTTCTCCTGCTTTGGGCGACACAGCTGTAAAATCTCCTGGTAAGGCATCGGCCAGTGGACGCCACTGTCTTGGCGTACATATATCTTCGTGGAGCATTAGATGTTGGGTGGCTCAGGAGGAAGTGGTTCTCATTCTGTCTTGGGCAGAGCTTCATGTCTCCACTCTGTTCACTTTGCTAATCCCAATAGTGGAAAGGTGGCAGTCAAACTTCCTCAGTCGGCAACAGTTGTTGCCAGCGGTGAGGGCTCTGCACTTGGAGGTGTTTGAAGAGCTCTTCCGCCAGTGGAGCACATAGGAAGAGCATTTTTTGACGTCAAGTCCAATGTGTAAATGGCCTTTTTTTTTTTTTTTTTTTTCTGCCCCAGGGATGACCTGGTGACTTTTTTTCCAAAGTTGCTTTGCAGGATTCGCACGGAAACAAGAGTTGGAGATTGATAGCCCTAGTTTGGCCCAGGAGAATGAATATTGGGAGTACAATCAAGAGGCAGAGTTTGGACTTGGCTGTGTCTCTTCAGAGGCCAAGTGCTTCTCATTTCTTGGTGCATGCCTTTTGTTCAGGATGCCACACACATTGCTGCTCCGGCCAGACCACCCTGCCATCTCTGCAATCTCAATTTTGTTCTTCAGATTTAAGAAAAAAAACTCTCCATGGAGCCCATTTAAGCTTTTCCCTTTTTGTCCTTGACGTGGAAGGTCGTTGCGGTTATTCAGCCCTTGGGGCTCAGAACTAGCTGTTTCCTGTAGGGAGCAGTTTTTTTAGAACTCAATCATGGTAGGGTGGTTTTTTCAACCTCAACTGTCCTTCCTTTTTTTTTTTTTTTTTTTTTTTTTACCTATGGTGGTTTCATCCCTTTTTTTTTGAACTGGAACTTTATATTTTCAGCCAGAGGACAAGGCTCTCCACACTTGGATATGGCTTGGCCTTTTAGGGTTCTATAGGGGATTGCCATGTTCGGCAGTTGGACTTTATTTGTACTTCGAGGGACAAAAAAAAAGCTCGTGCCTTCGACTGGTGTTTGGTTTGGTTTACAATGTTTTACGAGGCGGTAGGTAGAGTTACAGTACACATGTCCTTTTTGATCGCAGTGTTTTTTTGTTTTGTTTTTTTTGTTTTTTCAGGTTGCTATGTGGTCTTTTCCTGTTTTTCTGGGTTTATGTAGCTTGTTGCACTGCTTCCCTCCCCTAATGTTCAGTGCTCTGTTTGTAATGATTAATATCCTGCGTCCCAAAATGTAGGAAATATAAGCTGTATTGTGGGCTTACTTGTGAAATCCATTCTTTGGAGCACATCGCAGGTCACTGAGATCCCTCCCCTCTATATTGTGGTTTATGGCTTGCTACAAAAAACTGAGGCCCTGCCTGCAGGGGAGGTGCTATATAGGAGGGAACTTACTGTCTTTATTGCTAGTGTCCAGTGACCTGTAAATGGCGCATAACCCTGTTAGCATGGATTATTAAGCTGCTCCCTGTCCCCTGATGTACTCCCAAGAAATTTGTTGTTTTTTGTTTTTTTTTTTTAAATAAGCCAAAAATCCAGTTTTTGTGCAGTCACCCTATTCCTGCCAGTTTGTTAGCTAGAAGTAAATATGGCCATTCATAGATGGGAATATCTCAGTTTATCAAAGCTGAGCTTCTAGATTTTAGGTCTGAAATATTTGTCTGGGAATCCAGTTAATTATCTAGTATAGGTGGACATGGTCTACAGAAGCAGATATATGGTAATGACAAGTAAGGCCAGATGTGTAAAGATTGTTGTTCAAGTCCTAATACCACCTTATGAAATACCGTAATCATTTTTGTGTATAGGAACATTTTTGGATGTTGTGAAGACTTTCAAGACTAAGGCCTTATGCATATGGGACCTTTTTTACAGCTCTAATCTCCCCTGCATGTTAGCCTATGTGCCCAAGCACACACAAACATTTAGTTGCAGGAAAAAAAACCCACTGCCAGTGCATCCAGGAGCAGCAGAGATTTGGCAAAGGATCTCTTGATGCATATAAACACGCATTAACGCTAGCTGTGTTTAGTGCTTGAGCGTTAATTTATTTCAATGGCCAGAAAAAATTTGTTTATTCTGGTCAATGAAATGGATGCCCAAATGCTTGACGTAGGTAAATGTGGCTAAATGTTTTAAACACTTTTACAGGCATCAGGTGTGGGTTTTTTTTGGCCAAAATACTGCTGCCAGGAGGCAGGCTTCTAGGAGAATTATCTTGTCCTGTGTACATGAGGCATAGGAATTAAGAGAAGTATGGGGCTTGTTTTTGTTCCCCCCCCCCCCCCCCCCCCCACAAATCATACTTGCCTAGGTGGATGCTGCATCTGTCCCCACTGGCTCAAAGTGTGAGAACTCGGTGATCACATGACCGATGATTGCTGAGTTCTCACAGCCGCTCTGAGCAGAGAGCAGTGACTGGTAGTCGGTCATTGCTGTCTGCTCTGCTTCCCCTTGTGCTCACTGGAAAACTGGGCTGTGGAGGGGAAGCCTCTAGCTAGCCGCTCAGGCTCTCTGCGGATCACTGAGAGGCTGAGCCAGCTGCTGCTCCAGACTCTGGGGTGGATCATAACTTTAAAGTTGGGATCTTTCCCCAGCCTGGACTGGCTGACTGACATCAGCCGACAGCGGGCTTCAGCTCGCTGTCAGCTGAAAACGGGTCACAGGAGTGCAGAACGAACTGCACGTCTGTGATCCACAGGAGTACAGTCAAATGAGCTTTGGCTGTACTTCTCCTTCTGACTTAATAATAGCCTTTATATTCTTGAAAAAGTCTCCACTGGAGGCAACAAGTATGTGTTTTATGTGCTATGTCTATCTCTCACCTCCTTTCTGATTTTTTGTTTTTTATTTGTATTTATCCTTTCTTATTCTTCTTGGTCCTTGTATTAAGCCCCATGGGTGCAGCAAAACATGTCAGAGTGATTTTGTCAGAAGGAGCTTAGGCTGAAGCCATATCTTCACCATTCTGTGTAGTGGCTGGGTTGCGGTGTGTGGCTCTTCCACCTTATGACCAATCAGCTGTCGAGCCTGTACTGTCATCCCTGCTAGGAGAGAATGATGCAGAGATTTCAAATCCCCAGACCTGTGAAACGGATTTACCTTGTGTCACAGCATGGTATTGGTGCAGGTAGGTTTCCCTCACCGCTCCTGTGTGCATCCATATATTTTGTATGGACTCAAATCAAACTGCAAAGTGGGTACTTGTCCTATAGGTATTCTGTAAAACCATTTTTTTTTTTTTTTTTTTTTTTGTAATGGAAAGAAGTGTTCTCAAGCAATAGACCATATGTCTTTCTGTTCTAGTGGAAAATAGACAGCGCAGCCACATCTACTTATGAAATAGGAAACCCGCCTGATTATCGAGGCCAGAGTTGTATGAGGAGGCACGGCGTTTCCATGAGTCACACAGCCAGGCAGGTAATGTACCTCCATTTCATCCGTTATTGAATTCTATCCATTATGTTTTGTGTTACAGTGGTCCATAGACAGCGCAGCCACATCTCACTGGAACGTGGGTTGCTCCCGATTCAAGGGCCATAAAGTGCTTAAAAAGCCACGATACTGAAACATCGCATAGAGCACGGCAGGTATAGGACAGAAATTTTGTTTTGAGTTTCTGGCTTTACAGACCTTTCACCAAATTTGCATGGCTGTCTGTCCCACATTTCTGGTTTCTGTCACTGGGTAGTGTCTACTATTCTTTCATTCGCTTTCATAATCACACCAAGAAATGTGTTCTGGGTGTAACAACCAATCCCATTATTTACATCTTTAAATCTTCATTACACAATTGACAGCGGGAAACTGATTGTTTATGGGAGAATTCTTGCCTTTGCAACACTTAAAATGGTGAAGGCATTATAGTTCATGTTTGTGATGCAGTGTAAAGCACATCCCTTCCTCACCCTCTTTAGTTCTTTAGGTCCAAGGACGTCTGGCTTTCTAATGGTGCCAAAATGAATTGGCTGAAGTCCTGTTGAAAAATCCATCAAGGATAGCGCATGATGTTAATACACTTTTCTTTTTTACATGTAAATGTGCATTTATTATTTTTGGTTGCGAGAGCCTATAAAGTATTGCACCAGATCAGCAGATCACTGGTGCCATGCAGGTCTCCTGCAGACCTGTCAATATCTCTGCTTGCCAGTATGGTATGTACAGGCAAGCCGATATACAGACAAGAAGACTCTGAGAACTTGAAGCCGACAGCTGCTAAGGCTGTTGGGACCTGCACGGCCCTGCTGTTTTTAAAAGGTGACGGCTAGTACGGGGAACTTCTACCCGTACTTGTCAATGATTGGGGGGATGGGTTGGGCAGCTGCTTCAGCATTTGGAACATGTAACATGTTCCATCCTAAAAATGGGTGGAGCATGTAACATGTTCCCAAAGGTGAGCTTATCCTTTAATTAGATAATTGAAGTAAATATTCCCACAATTTATTGAATGAAGATTCTCTTCTCTTTTAGTAAATCAGTCTCAATGCCTATTATATGCTTTCATTGTACTTTGTTGTGCTTTGTTAATCGTATACAGTATGAGCTCTTAGACTGCCTAACCACACACAGTATTTCTAAGTCATGTGATTAACCTGAATATTGCTGTTAAAGTATTGCAGATTTAGTATTGAGTATGCCCTTTGGGATTTATTCTGTCATGGTGAGGGCTGGTCTGAGAGAGCTTACTGTCTATGGTCACTGAGTATGGACATCTGAAGGCACTTAAGCAGGCTCTGAGTGTAATAGGGAAGCCTAAAATGTAATTAAACAACTTTGTTTTCACTAAGAAAGTTGTCTTCAGGGTATTTGTGATGTATAACTGCAGTAATGATGAAATATGACTTTAATTTCAGATCACAAAAGAAGATTTCATGTCCTATGATTATATTTTGTGCATGGATGAAAGTAATCTAAGGTTAGTAAATTACATTAATTTTCCATGGTCAGTTTTTGTTTGTGTTTTAGTTTATCCTAGACTTGGTTGCTGTTATTATTTGTAAAATACTTCAGGCGATTGCTAGGGGGCCTATTCTCATTTTTGTAATGTGTTTTAAAGGGATTCCTTTCTCGTTCATTTCTCATCCCAACTTTCATATTCTACTGCGCCTCCAGTAGGATTTAACACTAGGAAACAAATAGCCTCTCCTACCACCAGAATGTCCCAGTTTTCCTGCAAATGTCCTAGGATGGCGGTTTTTTTTTTTTTTTTTAAATTTGCTGTAATAAAGACTAACTTTTATATAGCACTTTTTTTTTCATTTAGTTTAGTCAAGACTTCTCTACATCATTGCTAGAACTTTCTTTGTGATTGCAGCCATGTGGCATGGGCATCTCCAGCCTGGCTTTTGGAGTATCACGTCCGGACCCAACTGGACTGGATGTTGCAGGGATAGACTCAGTGATCTTTGGGCACTGGTTTTCATGTGTGGTGCTTTCTAGACCCCATGCTGGTAAAGTTTAGTTGTGGATCTGAGTACCTAGAGCAACTTAATTTGCATAGGTCAATGGTCACCTTTTATTCCCCATTACCACAATTTGTTTTGGAAGGGATATACACTGTAAGAGTGGCAAAGTCATCCACTGGATGGAGTGTCACACACTCCACTCTGCACCTCCTGCTGCTGCTTTTGCTTGAAAAGAGCCACGTGGCATTCTGATCTTCGATTTGTTCCTGCCAATGACCTACAGTGACATGGTCACATATGGCCGTCAGAGCCTTACCTGTCCTGGTTTTGTGAGTACCTGAGTCATGGAGTGTTCTTTAGCTCCATCAGGAGTGACTGGATCTTCTGCCCTTTTAGATGATGGTTACCTTATTTGCTGACTCTGATTGCAAAGGCCTCAAGTGCATTTCTGCACCCTTTCCGGCATATAATCTATACCTGATTTGTCCTAGGCTTTCAATGAGTGATTAGCTTACCCCTGAGGAATCACAGGTAAAAGCTTGCTGCTCACAGTTCCACACAGCTCCTGGATAATGGCTCTGGTCCGCACACAGAGGCAAGTTGCAGCTGCTAAGAACCAGACACCTCCGCTCTAGATAGGTGTAAGGAAGCTCCGCCTTACACATTACATCATGACAACTTCTTCAAAGGGATTAAAGATTAGCCTGTTCCTTCTACCAGTACTATCTCAAGTCTTGTGACCTTTAAAACTGCTATGGCAGGCATGACTTTCCCTTTGCACTCATTGTCTGTCTAGTTCTCTGGAGATTGGAAGTATCCTGATAAGTTATTTGCTTCTCCCAAGCACTTGTTAGCCTTACACCTCTGATACTGTATAGAAGTGTCCAGTTCCCATTATGGATCTGGTCGTGGCCTTAACCAGGCACTTACTACACTGGTGGGTGATGCACCCGTTTTTAAGGACACAATGGATAAGTGGTTGGAAGCCTTTCTAGGATCCTGTTCTTTCTAGCAGGTCCTACATTTCACCTAATCCTGGCTGTTACTTTAATTTGTTAAGCTATGTCTGATTGGTTAAAATCCTTTAAGAGATCTAACCACTGATGTGATTGGTCCTTTGCTTATGGAATGCATGCAGATGGCTGTAGCAATAAACTTCAGTTGTTAGTTTGCTGGAAGCCTCTTGTCTTATTTCCCGCATCTGTCTTATGTTGGTATGTATGCATAGAAGTGTTTGATCTACATAGCCTTCAAGTGACAATGTCTCTTCAGACTAGCTTTTGATAATATTGTCAAAGAAGCTGTAGGTGGCAAGAGCACCTATGCTCTTCAGCAAAAGACTCTTAATGAATAGATTGCTAAGTTCCCGCCCCCCCCCCCCCTCCCCCCAGGGCCCGAACAAGGGGGTGGGCAAAAGAGGCGGCTGCCCTGGGCACTATGGTATTATGTTAAAGGGTTGCTAGAAGTGATTTTTTTTATTTTTTTGGTGGGGGAGGCATTTTTGTGAATTGGGGACAGCTATTTGTGCTAGGAGGGGGTATCTTTTTTTTTTTTTTTTTATATATGCTCCTTTTTTTGGGAGGGGATTTTGCTGGCACACAATGCTCATACATCTTTGGGGGGGGGGGGGGGGGGCGTGGCGTGTTTTTGGTATGTCACCCAGGGCTCTAGATGACCTTGTCCCTGGAACAGTCTCTTTCTGACCGGTAGGAAACATTGCTTGAAACACCATGTTTTTTCCCCCTCTCCCCCCAAATTAACCTCCATGTCAAGACCCCCCAAGGTTGACTCCCAGTCCAGAAAGGGGGAAATGTTTTGTTAATGTTACCAAATGCTTGGATAGCTTGCATTTCACAAATAATTGAGTACTGTCCGTAATACTTTTATTTGCGCTAACATACAATTTTCAGGACAAGCTTTGGGGTATGTCCCCTTCTTCAAGGTCCAAGCAGTACTACTTCACAAAGTTTTAGCAGAATGTTAAAAGAAACAATCTCTGAGGGGTGGGGGAACCCCACAGAACAAAACACACACAAACAAATTTACACAGCAATGGTTATAAAACTAGGATTAGACAAGAGACAGAGCAAAAGACTGGGGGGGGGGAGGGGGGTTGAGACAACAGTCACAGAGGGGGGTTGTAAAACTGTTGGATAATGAGTGAGGAATCCCATGTCCAAATTAAGGCCGTTACCTTTTGTATCAAATAGAAATATAATTCTTGCTTCAAAAGTTTTCCTTTCCTGGATAGTTTTGAAATTTCCTTTTAAGAACTAAGATATTGAGGTCTTCCATAGTGTGGTCCGGTTGTGCGAAATGGTGTGCAGAAGTCATCTTCTTTATGTTCCTTGATGGTATGTCTGTGCAAATTCATCCTTGTTCGCAACTTCTGTCCTGTTTCGCCAACATCAGATCCTTTGCTTCATTTTCTGCACTGGATAAGATGCACAACACTACTGGAGGTGCAGCTGTATGATCCGGAGATGTTGAAGATCACTTTTGAGTGTCTGACACTTTTTGATGGATTAATTTGGTCAGCGTTTTTTATTGTAGGGTTTGCTTCCATTATTTGTGACGACATAATCAGAAGGAAGTTTCCTACTGATTAGTTTATTTTTGAGGTTTGGGGGTTGTCTGAAGGCCAGTATTGGGGGTTGCTAAATTATTTCTTTCAGAGTTCCATCCTCTGTTATGATGGGTTGTAAATCTTTGATTCTTTTTCTTCTTTCTAGTGCTGGATTGTATGTGGTTACTAGAGGTACATTGTTGGGTTTTTTTTTTTCTTTTGTATTGGAGTAGATTCTCTTTTTGGGCTCTCAAGGCTGTGTTTATGCTGGTGTTCATAGTTTTGTCCTTGTAACCTTTCTTATGGAAGGAGTCTGCTAGTGTCCCAAGATGTGTATCTCTGTCTCTTGGGTCAGAACATATTCGGTGGTATCTAATGGCCTGACTGTGTATGATGGCACGTTTCGTGTGTTGGGGGTGGAAGCTAGAACTGTGGAGGTAGTTGCATCTGTCAGTGGGTTTCCTGTATATTGAGGTGTGAAGCTCATCATCCCTGATGTATACTGTGGTGTCTAGGAAGTTGACGTGTGTGTTTTGAGTATTACATTTTTAGTTTTTGATGGATGAAAAGTGTTGATGAGTGAAATTGTTTTAGATATTCTTCACCTTCTGTCCATATGATGAAAATATCATCAATATAGCGATAGCATCTGTATGGTTTTTGTTGCATGCTGTGCAGGAATTTTTCCTCTGGGTCAGCCATAAATAAATTGGCATTTTGGGGTGCCATTTTTACTTCCCGTAGCAGTACCCATACATTGAAGATAGATGTCATTATTGAAATTGAAGTAGTTGTATGAATTCAATGAGCTGTGTAACATCCTCAGCAGTGTATTTATGGTGTATTTATGGTTTGGTGAGGATAAGGATCTGTGACATGCAGCTAATCTATCTTTATGAGGGATGTTACTATACAGGGATTCTACATCCATAGTGACTAGAAGTGTATTTGGTGGTAATTGCTGTATTTTGTTGATCTTGTTCTACAAGGCCTGAAATTTGTTCCGTGAGTGTGTTCATACCTGTTATGATACGTCTGCCTGGATTTCCTGGCTTGTGGATTTTGGGCAGCATGTAGAAGTCACGATTTCTGGATTATCTGCATTAAGTTCTGGATGTAGGTGGGCTGTAAGTGTTTTATTGAGACCTTTTAATTGCTTGTTAAAGTTGTGGGTCGGATCATAATCCAGTTATTTATAGTAAATAGCATTTTCCAGCTGCCTCTAGCCCTCTTGTATGTACTTGTATCCATCACTACTGCTGCTCCCCCTTTTTCCATAGGTTTGATGGTGATGGCCTGATTGTTGCGCAAGTCATCTCTAGCCCTTCGCTCCAGTGGTGAAATATTGTACAGAATTTTCTTTAGCTGATTGGATATCAGGGATGTAACTTGCAATCTTGCAATATAGGTGTCCAGTTTGTGGTTGCATGCTTGTGAAACAGCTCTTCTTTTTCTTTGTGAAGAAGGGGGACATACCCTGAAAGCTTGTCCTGAAAATTGTATGTTCGTGCAAATAAAGTATCACAGAGAGTACTCCATTGTTTCTGTCGCAAGTGCACGAATATGGCTACAATCACCTCCAGCATTTCAGGAATACAAACTGGAGTTTTTTGGTTTCCTTTTATCTCCCTGGTTTCTCACCTCTGACTTTTTTCTGTGTAACCTCATAGTTTAGCAGATCCTCTTTAAACCCTCTTGGGTCTTCTGGATCAAACCGTCATTGCTGCAGTTCCTGTGGCAAAACTGTTTCAGGTTTCACTTCAACCTGTGCATTTTTCCCAAACCCATAGGGACATTGGTGTCATTCAGGTCCAGAAATTCTTCATGGAATCCACCAAATCTGTCATTGCATCTCTTCACCTGGGAACCCTTTTGGCTTCTATTGACATTAAGGATACTTGCCTTCATGCCCCCATTTTCCGGTTCATGAATGATTCCTATGCTTTGCTGGGGGCCCCTTGCACTACTAGTCTGTGGCCTACCTTTTGGCCTTTTTTTTCTGCACCTCAGATATTTACCAAAGTGCTGGTTTCAGTATTATCACTGCTCTCCTCTTGTGGCATCCCTATTTTGAGATATTTAGATGAACTCCCGTTGAGGTAACAGTTGATATGAGCTCTGCCGTACATGTTTTTAACACCCTCTCATCTCATGCAGCCATTCACAGAAAAGCTCAGTGTACTGCTATTTTTCCTCCCCCAGCTCTTTTGTGTAGCTGAGAACAAAGGGAATGTGATCACTTATAAAAAAAAAAAAGGATAAAAGGGTAATTGTTTTTTTCTTTTCTTTTTTTTTTTTTTAAACAGAATGGGTTGTTTTACAAGGTGAGAGTTTACAATCATTGGGATGTTGATACTAATCTTATTTAAATACTATTATTAATTGACCATTCTTTTTCTAAAGTTATCTGTTACTGATATCACATCCTGTTATATCAGACAGGTGATAATACATTAGAACAGTAAAAAGAATATTAGGGAGGTTACAGAAAACACTAGTCTCTGTGCAGATTACATTTCTTTATTTGGTGTTTACCGACCCTCTTGAAATATGTAAGAAATCGCGCGCGCGCGTGTGTGTGTGTGTTCTGACCTTTTTAATTGATAGGGAAAATAGAATTTAGAAACAATTTTCTGTGTAATTGTTGTACACCGTTCGAGCCAGTTTGTTTTTAATGTCTAAGAAAAAACTGGTCACCTACCCAGGTCTATAACTGGCTTTTTAAACAGTGAACATAGAAGGCATCACAAAGTAAAAGATAGGACTATCCAATACAACTCGCCAGCCTACCCTAGTCTAATAATGGCTATTGTCGGCAAGGAACATGGATAAGTATAACTTATCAAAAGAGGGGGATAAGAAAGCCAGTTCAAACTGCCAGCCAGTTAGCCAACTATCAAAAACCAAATTAACCTGTTTTTAATGTCTTGTTTCGTCTTCAGAGATCTGAAACGTAAATGTGGTCAAGTACAAAACTGCAAAGCTAAAATTGAACTACTTGGAAGTTATGATCCTCAAAAACGGCTCATTATTGAAGATCCATATTATGTGAGTGTGTTTAAACCTTTCGCTATCCTGTTTGACAAAAATGGACAAAACAATTTATTTTTGTTTACTGCTTATCCAGTTCAAGGAGCACTGAAGATGTGCTGAAGTCCAAAACTCTTTTATATAGCTTTATGGTTGGGAGCTTTTGTATATTAATGTTATTATCATCATCATCAAATACTTGGGCATACCATGTGCTGCTGTCGAAGGTAACATTTTTGGACGTCAAATAATTCCCGCTTCTTAAAATTATACCTCAAAGGCTTGGGGAGAAGTACAGTATGCATAGATATGGTAATCAGTTGTGATCCCATAGATATTTTGTGACTACACGTACTCTCCTGAAATAGAATACATAATACAATTGTTTTTTTCTTATGTTTTTGGTGTAGGGTTGTCAGAACCAGTCTCACATTTTTATTGCTATCTTTGTCCCTATTGGGGTGATGTCTCCTGAGGTCTAAAATAGTCTTAGGCACTTTTTTTATTTTTTTGTGAATTACAGCACTCCCCCCTCCCCAATGTTCTAGAGATCAGAAAAAGGAGGGTTGTTTCTTGGTTCTAACACACTTCCTGTCCTAGGCTAACAGCACTGCTCCTCCGTAGATAGAGTACAATGAGTTTTGTGATTCTAGAACAGAAAGTGTTGCTGGCAGAATCACCAGGTGAGAATAAAGGGAAAACTGCTTTAAAAATATAAACTATTGCAGACACTACTCCTATGGTCTGGTAAGCTGCAGTATTACATTTTTGTTTTCATATTTAGATGTACTTTTAGGCTCCATTCACATTGGTGCGTCTTCAAAGTTGTGCGACTTTACATTCTCTGGACCAAATTTGCACAAAAGTAGTGCAGGCACCTTTTCAAAATCACTGCGACTTTGTCTCACCAATTTGAATGGGTACCATTGAAAAGAATTGGCTGCGATTTGTCATACGATTTTGATGTCCAAAGACGCATGACAAGTCACATAAGTGTGAATGGAGCTTTTAAGTTTCCCTATTTTAAGCAGCAAGTTTTGAAGATACTGTAGGGTTTTTTTTAAAACGTATTGCATTGTACCTTGGTAGTACCCTTAAACGTTCATGAATCAATCACCTTTTCAGAGTGGGAATGCCAGCAAAAAGGTATTAATATACAGGGCGGCATATTCTCTGAAAACTAGTAGGGTGGAGACTGAGTTTTGGGGGACTGCTGTATAGTGGGGTTTCCAGAAACTAGAGGTGTGGGAAGGTGTCCGCTTTCAGACTTGCAGCTTAGTTTTATTACATTTTAGGTAAAACAAGTTCTATTTTAAAGTAGTGTTGACCCTCTTATTATTTTCACCTAAAGTGTCCCTAAACTCTGATTTAGAAAAATAACTCTATGCAAGTATGGTTTTTTTTTTTTTTGTTTTTTGTTTTTCTCTTGCTGCTGTGATCTGACTTCCTCTTGATGGTGGCTACATTCCTTCTCCATGATCTGACTGTATGTAGGAGCACTGCTGGGTCCCTCTAAATCAGTTCCACTTCCCAGAATGTCCAGATCAGTAGCTATAACTGTATCGCACAGATCACATAACCGGTCGTCTTGCACACAAAAAGCAGCCTAAAACCGTAAATTACATGTATGAAATTCCCTGTTTTTAGGATGTAGAATGATGCCATATATAGTATATGTGATTTCTATTGCCAACACTGTCTCAGAGGCTGCTGGCTGCCTATTATATTAGAGAAGAAAAGCTGGGAATGGCTTGCATCCTGCACTTCTGAGCTACCTGTGTGTGGGTGCATGGAGTGTCAGCACAGAAGGCTGTAGTCCTGGGTGGGAGCATGTACATAAGGGGGGCTCCTGGAGATCCTGTAAGGGAGTGGAGCCATCCTACAAATGAGAACTGAAGAAGGTGATTTTAAAAAGTGGAAAATGCTTCAAAGAGCAAATAGGGATGCATGTAGGTGAAAAAGTATGCTGCTGAATATCACTTTTTAACATTGATGGTTTTAGAATACTTTTAAAGTAGACTTCAAACCAAAAGTGAGTGGTGAAGGACACTCTCCAGGAGGTGGGCATATGATTGTCAGTCTAAAATCAAGAGAAGACTTCATGAGATCAAATACAGAGGGTTCACCACGAGGTGAAAACCATTCATAAGCCTGAAGAATAGAAAAGCCAGATTAGACGTGGCCGAAAAAAATCTAAAAAAGCCAGACCAGTTCTGGAAAAGCATTCTTTGGACGGATGAAACTAAGATTAATCTGTACCAGAATGACAGGAAGAAAAAAGTGTGGAGAAGGCTTGGAACAGCCCGTGATCCAAAGCACACAACGTCATCTGTAAAACATGGTGGAGGTGGTGTGATGGCATGGGCATGCAGGGCTTCCAGTGGCACTGGGTCATTGGTGTGTATTGATGCTGTGATAGAAGACAGAATCAGCCGCATGAATTCTGCAGTGTTTAGGAAACCCAGTCTTTGGTAATGTCCAAGGGTTTCAGACTTCATGCAGTCATTCCCAGTAAGGGATTCGCAACAAAATATTAACCGCTTAATGACCGCCCTATAGCAGATATACTGCTATAGGGTGGCACCTGTGCGCAAAATCGCCTGTCAGGTGGAAGCATTCGGGTGGCAGCATTTCCTAGACTTTTGCGGTAATATGGAACTACTGCTATTTTATTCTCTAGGGTCTCTGATTTCAGAAAATATATAATGTTAAGGTGTTTTGTGTTATCTTCAGGCCTAAAATGATTTTTTAAACGTGCAAAATTGGCTCAGGCAGCAAAAGGGATAAAGGACAAGTCCGACGCTCCCCTTTCCTGACAGTCACCCAATCAGTGCTCATTACACTGTAAGATCTCTTCCCTCCCTGCTAGTCCTCGGGTGCGGTGCTGTAGACAGGCAGTGAGGGGCGGAGGAGATAAACGGTGCAATGTTAAAAAAAAAAAATTAAACGTTTAAGTCACCATAAAGCCCCTTTTGATTTTAAAAGTCCCAGACATTCCTAACAGTACCTCAGATTTAAATATGGTTTTGGTTAAAATTGATTTTTATATATATATACCAATTGTGCAAGTTCTCCCACTTAAAAAGATGAGAGAGGCCTGTAATTGGCATCATAGGTAGACCTCAACTATGAGAGACAAAATGAGAAAAACCAGACAATCACATTGGCTGATTTGGAAAGAATTTATTTGCAAATTATGGTGGAAAATAAGTATTTGGTCACCTACAACCAAGCAAGATTTCTGTCTCTCGCAGACCTGTACCTTCTTCTTTAAGAGGCTCCTCTGTCCTGCACTCATTACCTGTATCAATGGCACCTGTTTGAGGTTGTGGACAGGTGTCTACTGATAACAAGTTCAAACAGTCACACTCCAAACTCCACTATGGTGAAGACCAAAGAGCTGTCGAAGGACACCAGAAACAAAATTGTAGACCTGCACAAGGCTGGGAAGACTGAATCTGCAGTAGGCAAGCAGCTTGGTGTGAACAAATCAACTGTGAGAGCAATAATTAGAAAATGGAAGACATACAAGACCACCGATACTCTCCCTCAATCTGGGGCTCCACGCAAGATCTCACCCCATGGGGTCAAAATGATCACAAGATTACAGGCCTCTCTCATCTTTTCAAGTGGGAGAACAATTGGTGGCTGACTAAATACTTTTTTGCCCCACTGTATATATATCAGGACTAGTAGATTGTCATGAGGGACACCGATTTAGTCCATGTACAAGTAGTTTTTTCAAAAATTGCCATACCACTGAACTCATTTTACAATACAACATCTTTAGGGAGTGATACAGAGACTGCAGCTCCCGCTGCACATGTACTATTAACCCTTCATAGTCCTTGACTATGTTCAATCTATTAATTATACCTCCTCTACTAAGACTTCATCCTGATACAATAATAGTGATAAAGCAGTTTGAAATCTATATCAATATTCAACTCCATAGGGGTTAAAGTGCCTAATTTATGGTTTCATTTTGGCACAGTGGGACCGGGGAAAGATGTCCCAAAATGAAATCTACAGTGGGGAACAGAAGTATTTGGACACCCTGCGACTTTGCAAGTTCTCTCACTTAGAAATCATGGAGGAGTCTGAAATTTACGTTGTAGGTGCATTCCCACTCAGAGAGACAATTTAAAAATCATACAATGTGATTTTCTGATTTTTTTTTTTTTTTTTAAAGAATTTATTTGTCTTGCACTGCTGAACATAAGTATTTGAACGCCTCAGAAAATCAGTGTTAATATTTAGTAAAGAAGCCTTTGTTTGCAATTACAGAGGTCAAACGTTTCCTGTAGTTCTTGACGAGGTTTGTACACACTGCAACATGGATTTTGGCCCACTCCTCCATACATATCTCCTCTAGATCTGTCAGATTTTGGGGCTGTCGCTGAGAAACAAGGAGTTTCAGCTCCCTCCAAAGATGTTCTATTGGATTTGGGTCTGGAGACTGGCTAGGCCACTCCAGAACCTTGATGTGCTTCTTACGGAGCCACTCCTTGGTTATCCTGGCTGTGTGCTTCGGGTCGTTGTTATGTTGGAAGACCCAGCCACGACCCATCTTCAATGCTCTGACTGAGGGAAGGAGGTTGTTGCTTAAAATCTCACAATAAATGGCCCCATTCATCCCCTCCTTAATACAGTGCAGTTGTCCTGTCCCCTTCGCAGAAAAGCACCCCCAAAGCATGATGTTACCACCCCCATGCTTCACAGTTGGGATGGTGTTCTTGGGATGCAGCTCATCCTTTTTTCCTCCAAAACACGACGAGTGAAGTTTAGACCAAAAAGTTCTACTTTGGTCTCATCTGACCACATGACTTTCTCCCATGCCTCCTCTGGCTCATCCAGATGGTCATTGGCAAACTTCAGATGGGCCTGGAATGTGATGACTTGAGCAGGGGAACCTTCCATGCAATGCATGATTTGAAACCATGACGGCGTAGTGTTCTTCCGACAGTGACCTTTTGAAACTGTGGTCCCAGCTCTCTTCATGTCATTGAGCA